CATTACCCATTTAAGCCGTCTCCAGCCATTATTAACACAATTTGTTTATTTCATATAAGTATTAAAATCAATAAGCAACTTAAAAAACCATTAGCTTTTGTATGTAGTCATTTATTGTGCACCTTCACAGAAGTATCTAATATTTTACTATAACTTCCACTCAATCAATCAGTTACGGCCTCCCCAATTTCAAGGGTCAATGACTACGGTTCTCCATTATTCTTTAGTCCTTGCTTCCTGCACAATCTTTCCTAATTCAAACTCCTCATCTCCAATCTATTTTTCTAAATGCTGTTGATCAAAGTAAGTCTCTGCTTGCCTCTTGGTCTTCATCCTTTGATTCTTACCATCAAAATCTCTGCCAGCTTTCCATCACATCTACTTGCATGTCAAAGGTAGTGCATCTTCTGTTTCCTACATATGTTCAGCAGTTGTGTTTTCTGTCTTTGCATGTTACAATAATTCCTCATTAGATTTTCTTTCTATGTAGCTGATTTTTATCATTCATTTATAACAACACATTTCAAATGTATCCAACTGTTATTTCATTTCAGCAATGTTCATGTTTCCATTCAGTAGAGTAAGTAAAACAGACCATAACTCACACTTTAGTAGTGATGCACTTGCAGCATTTTGAGGCATTTTTAGACTATTTTCAAATGCTTCAAGAAATGAGTAATATAATTCCATAAAATTCCATGTATGATATACACACATGCAATGTGAAGAAAAGTTGGGCACATCTGGTGAATGCATGTGAGGAGTTACACAACAATGCTTGACCAAAAAAGGAAATGTATATGCCATGTAGAAACTATGATGCATTCCAGGCGTTATTGAGAATTAACTGTTTACAATATCTACAGACCGACATCACAGTAGCAGAGAGAAAGTTTATATTAACTTCATTAGAGACTGGACAGAACTTCCATAAAAAGAATTAGCAAGGAAATCATAGACTCTGGGTGGAACTTTGATCTGAAAAGGACGAGGAGAAATACATGCAAATGTGCTGTTGAACTAGTTTTGGTTTTAGTTCCAAGAATCACGATGAGTCAACAAAATAGAGTTGGATGTCTGCTCTATTTGGAGAATCATAAGAATACTAAAGAAATCCATATAAAAACCCATGTTTTTGGGTTAAAAGTCAGTCTCCTAGCTTATGTGAAGAAGCCACTGGTCCTGCTGCCAGTTTGTCAATTGAAATCTTACAGTCTCCTGGCTTGTATGAACAAGCCAAACAACAGGCTCTTGGTTGAAAAAAACTGATGCTGCCTGATACAACTATGTTCGAGTACACAACAATATTGAAGATGTCCAACATTTCCTGCTCAAGCTCAATGTAAGTAACTATTGCTATCTCTCTCTCTCTCAGAGTTAAATAATGTAGTTAAAATTTGAATGTACAGTTTAATATTAACCAATTAATGAAAGTTATGTCTGAGCAGTTTACAATCAATGTGTTAATTGATAACTTACCGATAGTATTAAGTAATTTAATGAATATTATAGAAAGTTTAATTGATGTACATTTACCTGCACAGATTGAAAAAGTTAAAAGTTTTAGCAGTAAAAGTTTCAAGAAACCTTTGGTACATTCAATGTAGCTGAGTATCTTAAGATACTGCATTAAAGTTTTGTATGTGTTTTGAATCTCGGTCTCTGAGTCAATTCTTTATTCCAACTTTAAACTTCCTCAGGTTACTGACTTGTATACTCCACTCATGACTGTAAACCTGGATTTTAAATAAATCTATTGAAAACTGGATTTAAGTCCAACTCCAAATGACTAGCCCACACGGTAGTCCACATCTTACAGTAGTCTCTTCTTTAATTCTGGTTTTACATTTCTCCTGAGCAACTCTTTGAGACTGAAGTGTTTATCATTCTTATACTTCACTTTATCTCTTTTTTTCCCCACACTTACAATTACTACTAATATTCATCCTTAAATGAGTAAACTCCACTACTTGTTCTAAATATTTACCTTCTATTCTAATGCATATTTTTGAAACTTCCTCTGAGGCCAAGAAATTACCACTGTCTTAATTTTGTTGACATATATTCTGACTCCATGTCTTTTCCTTTATCAACAAGCCTGTCCAGTAAAGGTTGCCTCTTCTTCAGATTCACTCATAAGTGCTATATCATCAATATACTTATTACAGATTTCTAGTAACCTTGATCCTTTCCATATCAATAATCAACTCTCTGCATAAATATTATGCCAGGGATACCACACATCTTTGTCAAATGCCTCTCCCAACAGTAAGCCAACTACTTAGTTCACCATCAATTCAAACTTCTGCTTCCTGTTTCCAGTATTCAGGATTCTATTACAGAATTTAAGATAGGAAAACAAATATGCTGCAGAAAACTTTTGGAAGGCTCCTTCTTTGTTAAAACATATTGCTGAAATACATGTAAATTTAGAATCTTTTATCATCATCATTTTGCAAGACTTTCAGATATTTATAGCTTTCTTATTTTCCAAACAGCATCATCTACCAATTACATGATTTCATCTATAAAATGATAACTAATCATCTTGCTACATTATTTGAGCTGGAAATGAAGTTCTAGGATGTCTATAAACTCTCAGTACTTTGAAGACAAACAAAATTCATATAAACTTTCCCAGAAAATTTTCAATCATATGTATTTCACATGAAATAATATTACCTTATTCCTTAATCATTCATGTAACTGTGAAGTGTATTCCAATTGAAAACTTGAAGTCCATACAAACAGCAGAACACTTTTCAGATAATCTGGAAGAGCTATGTTATATCATTAAAATTACTAGGTTGTGTACATATCAACTAACTTACTTTGAGTAGGGTTGAGGTAGACCTCATCCCACATTCTCATACATAAACATATTGCTAAGTTCAGTTTTCAACTTGTTTTTTTCTTAAGTTACTTCTAAAGTCAATAAGAGCTTCAGACAAGCTCTTCCTAATGAAAAGGAGAGTCATGGTCACTTCCCCTTAAATATCAGGTAAAAAATGGGATTTTAAGCTTCTTGTATTTTCTATCTACTATACAAAGATAAAAGCTGACTGTCTGTCACACTGATATCTCGGTCATTGCAATACAGATCGATAAGCAACTTGCATGAAATGATGGCACTTTCTGCCACAACAAGCAAAAGTCTATCTTTTTAAAATTCTTCCAGCCACATATATATATATAAAACAGATGATGCTCTACTTTTGGAGCTTTAAACTTTGGACAAAGAAATACGAAAACCCCTCTAGGCTTGTTTGACTACATTTAATCACAAAACCTGAAGTGAATAGAGAGTTCTATATGTGAAGTTTATAATTCATAGTTTTCAAAAATAGCTTCAAATTGTGTCATACACAATCAGATGTCACTGCTGTTGTAAAGAAACCATAATTATTTTTATGTTGGGCAGGTTTGAACTTGAAAGACAAATAAATAAATATGACAGGCTCTTTCTTATCTTCCTCTTTAGGGCTATCTGCAAATAGCTTTCCCTAGTTGTATATGTTGTGATATGCAGGCATATGTTTTTCTACCTGCTTTATTGCTATAGGAGTTTTAAATGTTCTTCAGTTATGTAGTTTCTATGTCATCATGGAAGCAACATGTAGTCCACAAATTTATTAAGATTACATTGCTCTAGTTACTTGTTTCTTTGTTCTCTTTTGTAGGTGATGTTTATTTCACCCACAAGGATATTGTAGTAACATACAACATCTGGGTTAAAAGGAATGACACTGTAATATCCTTTGTTGGCTGAGTAAATGTAACAAAGGTCACAAGGTGAAG